GGCCTTCGCCACAGACAGGGCTACGCTCCAGGCTGATGGAATATCTCATCCATCAGCAGCTCCAGGGATCTGCAGCAGCAGCACTGCGGGAGGAAGGCAGAGACAAGCCAAGTGGAGAAGGAGCTGCTTGGGCTTGTTGGGAGCAGAGGCTGCAGAGCCCTGGCAGGACGCAGCAGGTGGGAGCTTCCTGAGGTGCACAGGCTGCCATCCCTGTCTGCCTAAAATAGCTTTTAACATGAAGGGAGGTTCGGGTGGGTGCGGGAGTGCTGGCTCTCCCCAGCTCCTCCCTTGCCGAGAGCCCGTCTACACTGCCGTCTGTTCCTGTGCCGTAGCTTCATTGTGCTTTATTTGTCATCCTCCAGCACATATGCTAACAGCTCCACTGCCTGGCACTCGCAGAGGGTGGATTTAGCTCTGATTCAGGCACAAACAAACACTCACTCAGGGCAGTGCTCTCTGCCTCTCACCATCCCCACCTCCCCACTCTGCCTCGAGGAAGGGAGACAGGCAGGTGGTTGGGCTTGACGAGCTCGGCAGGTCCCTTTCAACTGAAAGTAATTTATTTTAGTACTCAATCCTATCCTGTTCTATTCCACTATTCTAATCTATACATCTATTGTATTCTTTTCTATTATTCCATTCCATTTCATTCCTGCAGCCTCTGCCATGGCAAGCACGAGGTAGGAGAAGAACAGCCACACTTCAGTTTGGGATATACTGAAAGCCATCCCAAAGGAGAACAACCATGAGAAAAATCACCACCAAGGAGAGAACCAAATGTGAGGGACTTTTTGTACTGGCCAGACAGGCCCCAAAACCTGCACAGCTGTGGCAGCTGCTGTCCCTTCTCCTTGGCATCAGTTCTGGGAAGCCAAAAGTGCAATCCAACTGTTTCCTTTGGTGCAATCGTGTTTACTTAAACAGAACACGCTTGTTCTTTTTACCTGGGGCACAGCAGGGACAGTCACCCAGGAACATTGCTTACACACCAGTTCTCAGCCTGCAATTCCAGACAGAGCTGTGACTGCAGGGGATTCTGTCCCTGCTCACTCAGCAGGGCCACCCTCCAAAATGTCTCCCTTTGCCCCAGGCAGGGCATGAGGGAGATTCCTGCCTGGACTGAGCACACTGGGGGCAGAGGCTGTGGTGGGGCAGGGATGACCACCAGGCAGGGGTGTCCCAGTGGCCCTGGCTGCACTGGAACACTGTGTTTCGAAGGAGGAGAACCCATGGGATGCCTCAAGCTGAACTCCCCTTCCCTGGAGCATTCCCTGTTACCACTGGCAAACAGCAGCAAACCTTCCACCCGTGTTCCCAAATCAGGTAACGCCCACTGGACGTGACTGTACAGCCCTCAGAGAAGGCCATGGCTCAAACCACCATGTGCCTGAAACACGGAGCCTTCTGCAGAAAACCACAGCAAACAGGGGGACTTTGACAGGAGGAAGGTGTGTGCAGCCTCAGGTAAACGTTTTGTGTGCCCTCACAGTGCAATCTGGTGCTCTCTGAAAGGGAAAAGTCTCCAGACCCGTATTCTTCAGGAGCGCTGTGAAGCATCAGTAATAAGTCATCTTTGGCAGGAATATGTGAACAGCATCCAGGGAGGGAGAACTTCATCAGAACAGAGAAATCCTTCCAGCCTGCCTTTGGTACAACTCCAGCCAGCCTGAAATATCCCTAAAGGCTCTGCTCCCTCCCCTCCTCAGAGCCATCCTGACCTGTCTCGGGCAAGGTACCTAGGTTACATGTTCCTGGGCCACTGTTTTGCAATGTTATTTATTTTTGTACGGGGTTTTCCAATTCAAGGGGTTTAGATGGGTATTTGCTGAGCAAAATGGGCACTTGCCCAGCAAAAAGCTGCCTCGATTACAGCAATTTCCTTCCCTGCCCCATTAGTGAAGCAGGACTCTGTTACTGCCTGGATGCCAGGTGCAAGCAAGCCCCACAGGATGTACTTTCACCCAGTAATTAATTACCTAGCACTTATCTAATTAACCAGAGTTTCCATCTACCATTCCCAGAGGCCAACAGCAAATGCCAGATTCTGCCCCTCCCAGCCACTGCCTAAAATATCTTCCAGTGCCACATCCTCTGTCACTGGGACAGGTAGCAGGACCAGTATCTCCAGTCTCCTCCCGCTCCTGAGGGAGCATCCCAGTCCTCTCAGCCCCAGGAGCACTCTGGCTCCCCCTGATCGAGACTGGAGCAACCCTGGCCACACAGCGTCCTGATGGGCTCCTGGGCTGCACTGGGGTGGTGGGACAGCGAGAGCAGACACTGCTGCCTGGGCACTGCTGAGAGTGAAGGCAGGAGCTGTTCTGAGCTGGGCTGGAGGTTGGCTACAGTCCAAACTCTGTCTTTGTGCACCCCAAAATGCAGGGAAGTTCAGATTTGCATGACTGGGGCCAGGGAATGGCACCTCTGGCAGCAGTGTGTGGGACAGGAGCAGTGTGTGGGACAGGAGCAGTGTGTGGGACAGGAGCAGTGTGTGGGACAGGAGCGGTGTCAGGACAGGAGCGGTGTGTGGGACAGGAGTGGTGTGTGGGACAGGAGTGGTGTGTGGGACTGGAGCTGTATTTGGGACAGGAACAGTGTCCAGGACAAGCAGTGCTCCCCGGTCCCGGGGCCCAGGGAGGCAGAGCCGAGGGTGGGAGCGCAGTGACAGCTTGGACGAAGCCTGTCACCCAGGGTGCACATGTGCACCCACGTGCCCGCCCCGCTGGCCAGAGGGCACACGGTCCCGGCCCTGGGGCCAGCAGGTCACCGGCCCCGCCACTGCCACTCGAGGCCAGCAGTGACGCAGAGACAAACAGGCACAAACCCCACACCCGAGGGGCCGCAGGGAGCGGGCAAAGGGGACAGGTCACTGCTGACCTTGGGAACCACTCGAAGCACAGGAGGTATTTAAGCCCCTGCAGAGCCCCTTGAAACCTCTTCTGAGCTCCAAACCCCGAGGGCTGAGGACACAGGGGGTGGTTTCCTTACCTTTTCAGCAGGGGACCACTTTCAGCTGACTGGTAGAGCCACTATGACTGAAACAACGGGTTACTCAGGGTGAGTAACAGGGGAACGTTTGAATTTGTTTTAATCAGACAAGAAAAATGTTCTCTGGGTTTTGTTTAAGCCTCGTTTATAAAACCTACCTGCACTGTTCTTTAGGTTTTTTCCCATCTCTTACAGCAGGTGGGAAGGGACAGCAAACCTGCCTCCTGCTGCCTGCAGAGTCTGGATTTAACTTGCACCCATCCCGCCAGGCAGTTATTTGGGACAATACAAGTGTGAAACCCTGATTTGCTAAGAGCTTAATAAGCTGTCACATACACAGAACAGCACAGCACGTTGCCTTGGGTAGTGCTGGCAGACCTCTGTAAGGGAAAGAGCTAAAACTGCCATTGACAAAGTTGATAAATACCGAGAAACGTTTTTTTACCAAACACACAGATACAACAGAGGTGTCAAAGAGGCTGCCTAGAGCAGAAAGGCAGCTGCCCCAGATTCCACACAGAGGTGGCTTTTCTCTGTCCCATCCCTTCCATGACAACAGGGTTGTGAGTACCCTGGTGGGTACGTGCCCTGTCCTGCCCATTCCCATCCCTGTGGGCAGTGCTCAGCGCCCCGAGCCATCTCCTCCCTGTCTCCCTGCAGGAGTGGGTTTGTCCACGTTAAAAACCCACACTTGGACTCGATGGAGGAGGACGTCCTGTACCACTTGGACTTGGGAACGAAGACACACAACCTGCCAGCAATGTTTGGGGATATAAAGGTAAAGAGCAGGTGGAAAAATGAGGCAGCAGTTTTCCCCCTCCACAGGCTCTCCAGCCCCCTGTCCCACAGCCCTGCTGGCCCATGCCAGGGCCCCCCTGCTGCCGATGCTCCTGCCAGGGCTGTGTCTGGCTGCTCTGCAAGGGGACTCAGCCACCCAGGGCAGCCTGGGCAGGGAGGTTGTTTGTCCTTGCTTGTTTTGGGCAGAAATCCCAACAGAAAATGATCCTTTTAAAAACCTGTAGCTCCGTAAAACCTGATTTTATCTTGGCCCCATGTTGGAGGACAGACGGAGGAGGCATTTGTCCAAAGAGTTTGATCATCATCTACTGGAGACAAGGGGAGGAGGATGTATTATTTTTGTCTGAGACCTGCTGTCAAAACCAGCCTGTCACGATGGCATCCGCTTCCATTTCAAAGCGGAGCCTTTCCCCAGTGGTGCGGGGGAAGAGCTGCAGCGTCCGGGGCTGGAGCAGCCTGGCACAGCCCCAGCACAGCCCCGGCACAGCCCCCCCGTCCTGCACCCTGCCAGCAGCAGCAGCAGCAGCACTGCCCTTGCAGCCAAATGCTCAACCCCCTCCTACCTTCAAGGAGCGTTTTTTCCTTTAATATGTTAAATTTGTCCTTTTTCCTCCCGTCTTTGCGGTCTCTGTGCCATCAGCAGCGGTCAATCATTGCAGTCGGCACTGTCCACAGAATAAATTCAGAGACGAGCTCCTCCTTTGCTGTGCTGTCAGTGGGGACACTAACAATAAATTTGCCGAGTTATTTGAGATTTTCTTGCCTGAAACTGATATCCAAGTAAGTCCATGCAGCCCTACGGCTGCCTGGACCCAGCACAGTCACCACCCTGATGGAGTGACAGCCTGGGTTTCATGTTAACCCCTGGTTTTGGGAACCTCAGTTGTCCCGATGTCCCTTGACTGCCGCCAAGGGAGCAGCATCTCGCTGCTTTCTCCGGGGAGACGCGTCTGGCGCAGCCACCGCGGCCACATCCAGCCCGACTCTTGTCCCCGTTTTAGCTGAGCAGGACCAACACAGCTCTGTTTCATTTGCAGTTCGTGTGCGTGGGCGGCAGCCCCAACAGGATGAGGGCGTTCGCGCAGCTGATGCAGCGGGAGCTGGGCCTGGCGGGCGCCGGGGAGGAGCTGCGGGACATCTGCGCTGGCTCGGACCGCTACGCCATGTACCGGGCAGGGCCCGTGCTCTCCATCAGCGTGAGTTTGAGTTTGTGTCCCTCTCCATCAGCGTGAGTTTGAGTCTGTGCCCCTCTCCATCAGTGAGTCTGTGCCCCTCTCCATCAGTGTGAGTCTGTGTCCCTCTCCATCAGCGTGAGTCTGTGCCCCTCTCCATCAGTGAGAGTCTGTGCCCCTCTCCATCAGTGTGAGTCTGTGCCCCTCTCCATCAGTGAGTCTGTGCCCCTCTCCATCAGTGAGTTTGTGCCGCTCTCCCCGTGCCGCTCCGTGGGGCTCACGGCAGCCAGACACCGGGGTCCTGTCCCTCCCACCCCTCTGCCTCTCCCAGTGCCAACCGGCAGATTTTTCCCCCCTTTTCGGCGTTCAGCCATTACCACCCGTGCAACCTCTGAACCGTGGCAAAGCTGCTTCTGTTTGAATAACATTCCTCGGCACCCTGCAGGCTCCGTTTGGAAAGTGCCACATTAACAGACACACACATTCTGCTCAGCTTGGGTCTGGCAGTTTGAGAGGCAAAGACCACTTCCCACCACGCATGAACCATGAAATGTTGCTGGGAGCATTACATTGACACAAGCTCCAAAATAAAATCCTGCTTTACTATTAATTACTCTCTCAGAGCAGGATTTTTGGCACCGCACAAAGGGAAAAGCAAACACAGGCTGTGTTTGGGAGAGTCCTGCCGTCATTTCTTCAGGCACGAGATCAGTCTGAAATGTGATTCACAGGAGATGGAGCCACTCACACAGCAGAGCTCACGCCTGGTCCCTCTGACAAAACCAAACCAATCCTGACCAAGGGAAAAACCTGAGGGAATCAATCCGATCGGATCCAAGGGGAAGAATCCCCACAAGATGTGCTGTTCCTCAGCCTGGCAGCAGCAGTGCCACAGCCAGAAGCAAACCCTTGCTGAGCTCGAGGCTGTGCACCAGCACCATCTCTGGCCAGGGCAGGAGCCCTTGGCCCATCCCTGCAAGGGGACACAGGGCAGAGCTCTGGCTGGCCCGAGATGCATCGTGTGGAGCCGCTGCCAACATCACATTTCTGCAAGTTGCTTAGAAACACAACTGAGCTCAAACATACAGGGGCAGGAACACAGATTCCTGCTCTGAATATTTACCATGAGAATGAATTTTTTAGGCATTGGCAAATAACCCAGGCTGATGTTCCAGAATAACAACATGCAAAAGGTTTCATATTTAAAATATGATACAAGGACAACAGAGCACTGGTCTCAGAGCCAACAGAAAGGAGACAAAGCAACACTAAAACTGGCTGTGTAAAAGTTAATTAACTAATTAACAGAGCTTCCACATGTGCTTCCTTCAGGTTTTTGAACATGATAGTGAAACCAAAAAATTGTGAGGCATTTTAAAGGGTAAAAAGCAAACCCCATGGAACCAAACACCTTTTGTTCTTAAAGGTTAAGCTGAGGAAAGGATGTCAGTCTAGCAACAGAGCAGAAAAGAGATGACCAAGTGAGGGAGGGCTGGCCAGAAGCAGCTCCAGACCTGCAGAACATCTGCCAGCCCTGGGGAGCAGCAGCAGAGATGGGAGCAGGGCAGCACTGTCCGTGGAGGACGGGAACTGGCCAGTGCCAGCGGTGGGGAGCTGGCAACCAGGCAAGGGCTGGGGACAGAGGGACACCAGGGCAGGGGATGTGAGCCAAGAAGCAGGACAGGTGGCCTGCAAGGCGTGCAGCAAACTCCTGACCCTGCAACCTGTCCTTACTGAGGGACACGAACCCTTCTGTCACCCTTGGTGCCCAGCAATGTGGTGGAGATGCTCTGGCTTGGGGCAAGGACAGGCTGGAAGGCACTCAGAGAAGTGGAGGCTCTGGTTGTCCTTGCTGAAATTCATCATCCCAGAGCACAAGCAAGACATGACAGAGTCTGAGCCAGCACGTGGCATCAGGACAGCAGTGCAAGGGGAAGGTCTTGGAGCATTCAGCTGTTAGGACATTCGTGGAGACCTGTCTGGAAAGAGAGGCACCATTCGTGCACCTGCACAGGGTCCCCAGGGATGAACACCTTCCCTACCGATGAGGAGAACCTTTAAATCATCAAGGGGAGGAGAAAAGGGTTAGACACTTTCACTGGGACAGGCTACAAAGACCCTGAGATGTCTCTTCCCCCTTAACAAAATCGCTGTTGCAATCACCAGGGGAAAAGGTCCCAGTGTAACCCTGAGTTTGCTGCAGTCACGTACCTGTCCCCTGCTGCAGCCTCACAGGCACTGACATTTCTCTTTTCTCTCCTTCCAACAGCATGGGATGGGCATTCCTTCCATCTCCATCATGCTTCACGAGCTGATCAAACTGCTGCACCATGCGAAATGCCGGGACGTTACCATTATCCGCATCGGTACTTCGGGAGGCTTAGGTAAGCGATTCGTGGTCTTCCTTCAGAGCAAAACAGCTTTATTAAAACAAATTCCAGCAATAGGTCATGCAGTTCTGAGCTTTACCATTGTCAGGTCTCCAAATATCCCCAGTATCCTGGCTTGTGCCAGCACTGGTGTGGCAATAGGACCAGGG